AGAGAGAGAGAGAGAGAGACGAACCAGTTGCGGGACAAGCGTAAAAACACACTGTTTGTGCCGGATCGAAGATCAAATTACAAAAAGAGCAACAAGCATTTTACGCATGCAACTCCGCCAGAGCTGGTCCAAGCGTCTTTCAACTAACTTATGCATGCGTGCTTGTTTGTGTTCGTGTCTATGTGGTGTATGCGCGATCGATCCATGGTACTACCAGCGGCGCGTCATAATGTGTGCAGAGTGAAACCATTTAATTGAAGTTATTATCCTCACCACAGCAACGCAGTTATGTTTCTTTCTTACACAAATTTTCATCGATCGGTGTGTTGAAACGCATGACCTTAGATGCTAGAACGACATGAACCGACCAACCAAGTTGAATTAATAGACCAATAACCTTCGCGTAAGAGTAGACATACCAAAGAGGTTACATGCATTACGACATTTGGTTGAACGGGAATCAATCAAATATTCTGACAGGAATAGAGGATTGTGACTCTTGGTATTTCCCACTGGCTAATGACACTCGATTGCAAGCCGCAGTCGGTCACCTGGGTGTCAAACGCCATGGTTTAAACACAGGATCGCATAATGCTCAACGTATTGCTTTTGTGTGTAGTTACTAAATGAAAATTGACCAGGCAAAGTGAAAAATAGTCGATAAGACCACATTTACAGGAACCGTGAGAAATAGCAGCCGTTCTGAGTGCATATCATACGCATGGAGAAGACATGATACACTTAAAATCAACGGCTCACCTATTCCCTTGCAACACACATTCTCATCGCGTCTTTAAAGAGAACACAAATCTCTAGTTGGACGAGAAGGTATTTCATTATTTGCCGGGTTCATTGATGCTAAGCATGTCAATTAAATTACAACAGGGTAAAGTACACGGACATATATGGTGTGAGATAGAACGAGGCTAGTCAGAGATGAATTTCCAATGCATGCTCCACTTGGGGCCAAAACGTTCCGTGACAATGTCGCAGTACTCTCCAATGAGCATGTTCGCGTCAGGGAAATTGTATTCTTTGTTTGCAAGCACAGCGATGGTACTGAGTTTTTCTAAACTACAAAACGTGATTCTAGAGGGTAAACATCCCGGTAACACATGATTGCTTACAGATAGATGGCTTGAGTAGCAGCGGTGTGCTGTGCTGTGTTTGCATCACCCAGGAATGCAATGATGCTAACAGTGAGTCCTAATTTCTCAGAGCCAAGTTCGACAAGAAGGCAGCTACATTACACATCAGTGACACAATATAGCAAGCCGTCGCCAAACACCGTTCACTTGACTCTACGTATATTCCACAATTCCAAGTAGAAATTGGCACTGTGCTTTGTAAAAAGCGGAGAAGAATGCACGAAAATAAAAAACCAAGGTCATGTGTTTCCCTGCTATATATGGGAATAGAAGTGCTATCATTCTAATTAGAATACAGTTTTACTGAAACAGTCAGACGGGTTCAAACGAACAGGCGTGTGAATTGTGACTGCCTGAAGGAGACATATAGGCATTCTTGCGCACTCACCTAACTGATTTGGCTGTATCAATGAAAGTGAATTTAGAACGCTTTCTCACGTTATTCATTCGGGTAATTATGCGTTCGCACCTTAGTGAATCCACAAGGATTTCGGTCACCCATTCAGAGGGATATTCAGCAGGAAAAACAGAGTTCGGAAGAGTCCGTGCTGACGCTTGGAGTCGAAAGTCTGTAAATCATTGATAGTTTTGTGTACCCTGGGAACCAAGCAGTATCCCATGATTCCTGTTTCTCTAACTTGCAGCTAGGTTAACCCGACTGGTGATTTACATTTCGATCCACTGGAACAAGCCGCTAAAATTCATCCAACTAAATCCATCGATCTATTTGTTCGCATACCCCACAACCAACGATTTATTCCCAATAGTCGTGAGCACCGGAAAGTACCTGTTTGTTGAACGCAATATATTATAATACGTCAAACTTCACATCTATATAACTGTATCACAAATAGTTGCAATATCAACTTTGAATTCCACAGGCAACAATTTAAGCTAGCGCTGCAGCTAACTTCAAAATCTAGTGAGCTGTGTGCAAGATACACATGATCCCAACCATTAAAGTTTAGTATTAAAAATAACACTAAATCGTACTTATCAGTTCAGTGTCCATGGATGTTCCTCGTGTCCACACAAGGTTACGTCCAATATCTGTCTATCGCACAGCAAAATCTTTGACTTATGTAAATATTTCTGTAGGGATCATAAGAGGCTTTGGGCCTATCTCAGCTTTTCGACGTATGTGGAGATGCGAAAGGGGGTAAAACGTCTGTCGCGGACAGCGAAACTAATATTGCGCCGCGTCAGAGACTGGCGAACAATTGCGGACAACCACGAGGGAGTGGGAAGAAAATGAGTGCCAGACAATAAATGATAACAGATCGACGGGACAAAAACTGTACCGAGGGGTGCGCGGCGACTCGTTCTGCTTCAAGTGATGACGGAGGTATTATTCAACAATGAGAATGATTTCATGGTGCTTCAATAGTCGATACCTGAGGGAGATAGGACGACATATATTGTTAAGGCCTAGGTCGAAGGATTGGCAAACACGCGAAGAAAAACCGGTTTGCATTTGAAGCGCAGAAACATTTTGAGGCTAATTGACAGTGTCAACACAGCGTGGTGGTGGTAGTAGTAGTAGTAGTGTTGTGAGATACTACTCACTTGTGAGTAGTACGCAAAATAAGGCGATCAGAAGTTTCTTTCAACGACCAAAAATGAACAAGACCTGTTGGAGCAAACGGTTGCTGTTTGGTACGGTGAACACAAGAATGCGCATCTGATAGTGGACCACTGCATTACATATCCGGTGTTTGCGGGAATTCTGCAAACTTGTTTCAAATGAGATATTTTGTTATATGAATGACAATTTAACCATATCCTAACTGTCATTGGCAGAAAACGATTAATGTCGACCAGGACCCTTGTGGAGCTATAACAGTAGCGCTTGTAGTAGTAGTAGTAATTGTAGTAATACGCACGGAATTCGGAACACGAACTACGCAATAGGAACAACAGGACACGGATCTAGGATCAGCTATCACAGACTGGATTACGGAAGCACTGGACCGCAATGGCACGAGCTCGCAATATCCCACGTGACCGAGACGCCAGGAAAAGGCCACAAGAATGGTAGTTCGTAGTTCGTTTATTGGATGAAACCGAGGCGAATAAATAATATGTGTAAAAGAAGATCATTGGTTTTCTAGGCTTCGACCAATCATATTGCAGTATTGCTTGCATACTTTTGATTCTTTCTGCACTGTCTTGGATTGGCTGGCACAACCTACCTAAGGCGTGTAGTCAGAAGCCATACGCGTGTCACTGACGTCACCTTTCAAATTTGATGGATGGCAGTTGTCCAGAAACTGTAACACGCCCCTCTAGGGTAGGCTTCATCTCGTAGGCCTGGATCATCACACTTCTCCGAATCATGTAGTTAGTGGATACACCGAATCTTTTGGTGAGCATGACTATTGGGAATAAATCGTTGGTTGTGGGGTATGCGAATAAATGGATCGATGGATTTGGTTGGATGAATTTTAGCGGCTTGTTCCAGTGGATCGAAATGTATCACCAGAGGGGTTGAACTAACCGCAAGTTAGAGAAACAGGAATCATGGGATACTGCTTGGTTTCCAAGGTATACAAAACTATCAATGATTTACAGACTTTCGACTCCAAGCGTCAGTGCGGACACGGATATCCAACACTCATATGGCAATGGTTTACATTTTGAGGGTGACAAACACGCTGCATCGAGAATTGTCGGGTAGCGAATGCATGCAAGCTAGTGGATATTAAAACAGCGTAAGTTACATAATCGGCAGTGCTGCTACCTGCGGATAGTTCTACACCTCCCTCCTTAAAATCACAGTGAACAAAATTTGAGAGAAATTGCGAGATAGGATATCCTTGGTATACGCCGAAACAGACAGCAAACGGTGACAATAGACTGCAAAGGTTCCAAAGTGTGATTACAGCATTTCCGGGATAGATATGTATTTTCTGGTACTCCATTTCTCAGTAACAATTTCATAGAATTGATTGATCAACAGAATCGAAATCTACATTGGTAACACGAGGCCATAGAATAATCCATCTACGATTGGGTTTAACGGTGGTTAGACAGTTGGTGAAGTGTAAAGATCAGATTAAGGCAACCACAACTAGGGTGAAATCTAGCTGGCTCCTCGTGGATCAGGTCGTCCCGTTTCTTTGGCAGTCTGTGGAGAATACTGGATACCCGAATCTTTGACACAACTTGGCCTAGAGACTGATTACCCGACGATTATCACAGATTGTGCAGGAATACTGTTTAAAGATTGGAACAACAAGCGAGACATCCCATTCTGGTAGGATCTCTGCTCGCTTTAAGATCTTGGAGAACATTCTATGCAGTTCAACAACCCAAACCGACAAGTTATATTATTGCTGGATGTTTGAGATGCGATAGCGTTTCTTCTTTATTCCCTTGCTCATTTAGAATGTCTTTAAAGATCGACCACAAAAGGAGGTAATTTGCTGTTGTTGATCCGTTCATTGAACCGGTGAGAATGCTGATTCATCCAAGGTAGTTCAAAACTCCGGTCGAAAAATTCCCAAAAGGCCGGATACGGATCTCCTTCAGGACATCTCGGATCCGATTGATTGTCAGGGAATGTTTGGCACCCTGAATTCGAGAGCCCCACTCGCAAGGCTCTTGTTTGTTGGGGTTAACTCAAATAACAACCTCGAAGAGAACATGGTGTCCAAGATCTCACTTCCTTGGATGTTAAAATGTTCAACCGAACGCTCAAGATGAAGTGCCTTGGGTCAACCTCGTGCCCGCGCTTGGACAACCGAGTTGTACAGAAGTCCATAATTTCAGAGGAGCTTTGAATTGTAGTAGAAATGTTATTCTACCTAGTTCAGGGATGATGTATTCACATTGGCTTTGTGTGGCGTGGCGTGGGGTCCACCTCGCACATCCAATGTACAGTGACCGCTTAGAATGAAATAAGCACAGAGATGTGGAAAAAATAAGCATACAATCACAGTGGATTGCGAGACCATTGGACCTTCAAACCAGTGTCTGTTATTTATATGATTGAATACGATATTTTTCGCATCCTGCGCACCTATCTGTGCAATACAACCTGATAAGTGATAAGTGAATTGGTTAGAACATGTTCACTGCTCATTTTAACGCATAGATCAGACAAATCCATGATAAAGGTTCTTATTAGGAGAAGGGAGACTTAAAGATGGAAAACAATCAGAGGTTGGAACGTATCGTTTCAAAGGCCGGTTCAGTCTACTGATATTCTTAGAAATATACGCCGTTCTTTTCTTTAAAAACATATACGGTCCTCTCTGTTTAATGGTTTGGGTTACGGTTCATTAGCAAACTTTTTGATTCAGTTCGATTTAACTCAAAAACGGTTCACACAATTAACAACAAAAAATACGGTCACAAACAGTCATCCCCCCTGAGGAATCGTCCATTGTTGATCAAAAATGAAAAACGGTGTTTTTCAAACTGAATATCCCCACTCTCACGGGGCGGGTCCTTCTAGTAATAATCACCATATTATTACATAGTAAACCAAATAGTTTTACCACACCCGTTTTGTGTAAGTCCTCGCAACTGGGACGCGTGTGTATAGATTTAAACTTCGACTATTTAGAATCAATTTTACCACAGATAATAACTCATACGCACTGAAAGTAATGCTTGACCAAACAAACAGGGAGACTTCTCTTCCTCCTCCTCAGAAGAAACAACACGGCAAGAGAAAGGGACCGGCTTACCTGAGGGACTTGACTTGTTCTGCTACATTCGTAATAGTCGCCCAGACGCAGATAACTTTTGAAACTGAAATCGTCCACAGACAACATGCTCACGTTATTGGTTTTGAGGTACTGTGGAAGGATAAAAAAGAGAAATGCGGAAATGATTCGAACGGGGTGACAAATTGCGGTCGGAGATCGGGGTAAATGACAGATCAGATGCTATGAGTGCATTATTGGACACTAAAGAGGAACAGAGAAAGGTTTCTTTACTTAATGGTCTAGTTAGAAAGTATTGTTATGCATTGGGGTGAAAAATGCCTAACGCATACGGACAATGTCAGTCTGATTACTCACAAAAAGCTCTAATGAATTTCAAGAACTTAACGATGTGTTTAGTGTATATGGGAGAATTTCAAATCTACTAAGGTTGGACGGAGATAATACCAAAGAAAGGTTAGGTCGACGGCTTTTATTGAAAGAGACAATAAATATTTGGTGAAGAATAGTATGCTTTGGTAGCAGTTGTACCAGTTTTGGTATTAATATTTGTTGTGACCTAGAAATGACTGATTCGCTTGCCGAATATGACTGTGGCCAGATTGAATGATTGATCGGTTAACTGAGTGTTTGAATGCTGGTTTGACACCATTCGGATGTGGTGCGACGTGTGAGCCGGAGTCGGCTTGCCTGCTTGCTTTCCTACAAGTTGTCTGTTCCTACTTGTTCCCCGGTTTTGGGACCGGCTACATATTTGCTGTTTACAATAAACGTACAGTTAATTCGTTGTGTGCTCATTTACTTGGAACCCCACAATATTGGTGTGATGTAGTACTCACATTTGTGAGTAGTTAGCAAGCAACAGGGAGCGGTCATTGGATTCCCACGGATTTCGTGAATGGATTGAAGGGTCTACTTTTGTAACTACAAGAAATGCACATCTACTGTTGGATCGTCCAATTAATAATCCTGTATGCTTGTGGAAATTCTGAAGATTTGTTTCAAATGAGACATTTTATTGCATGTACGCCAATTTATCGATATCCTTGCAGTTATTCGCAATAAACAAGTTTCCACGTCCATGCACTGTTTTGATGATTTACATCAGTAGCAGTATCAGTATCAGACTAGTCAAGCAACCGTGAAGTTACTGGAGGACACATCTGGACGGGGTTCATCCTAAATCAAACTAATGACACGTGTGATATACAAATACAGGTGCGTACATCACATAACTCACCTCACGAACGCTATCCAGATTCCAGAGGCGGCGACCACATGGGCTAACGTAAATCACCTCGCCAAGGATTCCACCAGGTCCAATACCTTTGACCAATGTCTCACGGCGCCAACTAGAATGAAATTCAACCAGAAGGGCATGCAAGAACTGTGTGAAAATTAACATTAAAAAGTGAGACCGGTGCATTAATCAATTACCGGTCAATCGGGTTCGGGTAGAAGAGACAAACATCAGGCAAATAGACATGATCTTTGTCATATGTAGACTAGTTTTATTATTACAAACAGGGGTGTAACGGATAGTAGACGGGGTGGCACTCCATGGTCAAGATGACCTCTTGCTCAGTGATGGTAACTGGCAACCTAATCCCCGGGACTTGGAGTGACGAACCGCTAGTTCAGATGTGGTATGGAAACGGGCGACAGTAAGGCTGTCGACTTATCGACTGTGAAGTACCGCTATTGTTACAGTTGATCTAACAAATGCAACACAGCAATAACAATGGCGTTGAAATTGCCACCAAAAAGCAATCGAACAGATCGATATAAGCTTCAGGTGCATATCAAACACACATGCACACACGGTTAATCCGAAGCGGAACTCAGTAATTGGACGCGTTATTCACACTGTGTCAAATAGCTGGGGCGCGCGATGTTCACACTGTGCACCCATTTTTGACCAAACACGGAAATTTTATCTAATCAACTGTTTCTTCCGGTGTGTCATAGACAGTAAGTGAATCATGGAGCGCATGTGTATCAGTCGATTCAGCAGCCAGTCGGAGTAAATAATAGAACCAGATGTGAACGAATCTAGCATAGCACAGCATTAGGCCTTCGCTAATAACCAGGAGCATTGTGCGTCCGTCATGGTAGACCGTTTCCCCATCGTATGCGTA